AGTATTACCTTCGAGCAATTCAATGTAATTTTTTGTATAAATTATTTCTTCTTTAATACGGTTGTTTCTATTAATATTATGAACATAAAATGAAATGCGACAAATACTACTTCTTCAATCATGTGTTATTTTCCTACTATTTCATTTGAATTTAGTACGTAGTGAGAGAATACTTCCCCCAAATGTCCCACACAGTGTTGACGAAAAATCAATATGACAAGCGCGAATCCACGAGATGGTGAATGAGGGAAATCCCCCCTCCCCCAAAAATGTTTTTTTCCAGTAACTATAAATTTTAACTTCTCAAGAAACTTTTAAGTATAAAGTGATGCTAAAACAGAACTTTTCGTCCGTAACTACGCGCGAAAAGTAATCAAATTTTCGAAAAATTGTACTTCAAAATCTGTATTTCAAAATCTAACTTTAAGGAACAGATTTCAATAAGGGAAAAAATCTATCTTTAATATATTTGTTGTAGCAAAACTGCGAACAAATTTCCAACTTTAGTAATTCTCCACTGTTTTTAACGAACATAAGACCTGCACCATTCTCTTAAACGTTCTTCACACCATCTAACAAAAAAAATAATCAAAATCGATGGAGCCTTTTTTTTAATGTCCCAGGGCATTAATGTAAAGTACCCAAAAAATTGAAACATCGGTTTCAAATTCCAGAGGCCGTACCATCAGCCAGATCGATTAGGTAATATCAATTTTTGAGAAAATCGACTGATCGGTTTAGCCGCTAGCGTTGTTCACAGACTGACAGACGTTTCCCCAGCATCCGAATTGTCGGTTTCGGAGATCCACAAAATAGATTTTTGCTACACCAAGTGTTAGAGGATTTTTCTAAATTTAACAACTAGATTTATCCACTTTTTCGTTACCAGAGCCCTGTAATAAGAGTTTTTCTGCAGAAAATTCGCCGTTTTTTCGCGCTACGACGTAACTTTCTTTCTACTCCCTAAAAATATGTTCGGATAACTATTAAAACGAATAAAATCGCATCACAGCATGAGCTGAGATTATTCTGCGTCATTCTACATATTCTGAAATATGACACATTCGTCTCAAGCATTTGTAATAAAAAAAAACCTATCTGAATGTGCCTATCACAGTCGACTCAGTCGGGCATTTATATAGAATCCCTAGGATGGAGAAATAAAATAATTAAGGGTCGTGTTTGGGTGACCTGTCACTGATTTAATCGCAGAGTCGGATCGACGGAGTGGGGGTGCAAACTCCTCAAAAAAGAAACACAGAGAATAAAATGGTAAAATTGCAGGAAAAATAAAAATGAGAAACACAAGGAAAACTTGTAGAAACGTTTAAAATGTATCGAAAAAATAACCGCGCGTTTTCCTTTTGGTTAGGAAATGGAATCCTAAATCACACTGTATTTACGTCCAGTGGTTCGTATGGAAAATGTCTTCGACTATTCTCCAGAGGTGTGTCAGAGCTCATCGCTTTCTTACTTTGCTTGACAAGCGGTGCTACGGCCACTTCAGCTGTTGGTGTGTGGTCGACGCAACCGGAAACTGCTAATGGCGTTACAGTTTCTGTAACTGTGTAAAGGCCTCTTCACACGCCGCCACCGCAGCGCGCTTCCGAGCACCGCGGCTCGTAGCAGAGCATTGGTTTGAAGGGAGACCTTCCCACGTGCAGCCGGCGTGCGCTGCCGCGGCAAGCGGCGGTGGGCTCTCGCTTCGCGAAGCGGAGGGCGTACGCGCCACAGCTTTACTATTCTAAATGGCTCACATAACGAATAGACTGTACAACATCGCGTCATGGAACGCAAACGGCACCTGCATAAAAACTAAATCACTACTGGAAAAATTCTGCGAAGACTACGGTATCGCAATTTTACTGATACAAGAAACGCACCTAACAAAAGCTCGCAACTTCAGTCTCAGAGGCTACTACATTTACAGAAATGACAGGACTAATAGGCAAGGCGGCGGCACGGCAATAGCAATCAGACGAACCCTCCCGCATACGAGAATAAACACGCCCCAACTAACCAACCTAGAAGCAACACTAGTTGAAGTAGGAACAGCCACCGGTCCGATAACATTCATTTCCGTATATAGGAGCCCAGGATTGCCTCTACTCACGGAAGACCTAGACGCTATCACAACCAACTGCGCCACTTTAGTCTTAGGAGGCGATTTAAACGCGAAACGACTAGAATGGGGATGCCGCAACAATACAACAGCCGGCAACGTCCTCCAAAGATT